TGAGGCTCTATATTCAATCTCCAGCACAACCAAAAGGAAAACAAATAATACTGTCATAGAGATAGTTTCATTTTACCTGACTTAATCTGACAGTCTACTGAGATTTTAGTCCTGTTTAATTTCTGTGTTTTAACATACTGACCGTTTCTTTTGTCTGTAGTAGTTAATAAGCATGTCTTGTTCCTTTATCATAACAAAGCAATAAAACAAATCACAGAAGAGCTCAATTTTCTCCCACAACAACCAACTAAAGAAAACAGATGGGCAGTTTATGGCTAACAGAATGATTTCATAAAGGCATCAATATTTCAGAACCTGTCTGCTCCTTTTGTAAGTGGGAGAGAGATCTAGTTCATTGCAGCTCTGATATTTTAGGAAGGAGTGGGGAACGTGGAGGGGAGGCAGCAAAAAGATGCATGGGTCTTCTCTACTTCTAAAGGAACTTTCCCCTAAGAACCTGTCAGAAATTTTAGACATGAAGATGGTCACTCGCTGCTTATATGCAAGAGACTTGGAAGCATGCATTTGTAGCTGGACAAATTGCTACTACCAACAGAAATATTTTAGGTGCAGAGGAGTTGGTTGATGTTGGGTGAATTAAAGATGGAAAAGTAAAGAGGAGCTTTGTTTATTTCCAACATTGACTCTTATGCACCGGGGACCTAAGCTGGAGATACAAGGAGATGAGTCAGAGAAGATCCTTGACCTTAGCTACAATGAGTAATTTTTAATATTGTATTGATTATTATCTAATTTCATAAGAAGATTGATTTGTCAAGGTTGTTATTCTTTAAAAGCCAAATCTCAAATTACTGCACTTTGAGATAAAAAAAACTGACCTTGTGATTAATACTTCTTTCAGTAACAAGGGATTGAAGATCACTTTAGCTAATGATGGCTTGATAGCAAAATGGAAATTGTATTGCTTAGTAATTTTTGACCTACAGTCTCATTCTGTACAGTTTTAATAGTAACCTTTTCCTGAAAAAGCAATCTGGAGTTCAACTTTTGTTCTGTGCAGACAAGTAAATTCAACCCTATTTCCATCTTATATCCATTCTTCCCATCTCTTACAGAAGATGTTCATGTCTAACAGAATTCATACTTTGACATTTTCCCCCTCTTTAGTAGGAAATTAGATTTTCATAACTAAATCTAATTCACCTTTGAAGACATGGGAATGTTGGTCCGTTTGTGTAAACTCCAGAACTCATTTTACTTTGCTCTCAAACAGTATTTGAGGATATGTTAGTATTGTACGAAAGAATATCTGGCAGAAGTAGTAGTACACGGTGTTTGCCTTGCTTGCATGATCAGCAACCCTGGTTCTATCCCTGGCACCACAATCAGTGATCCCTAAGCACAGAGCTAGGATTAAGCCTTTAGCAATGCTGGGTGTGTCCCCCACCTCAATATAATTCTAAAAGTAGGAAAGTTCTTTTTTACACTTTTGACACAGTAGAACTGAGATATATGGAAGAACCTTCAGGTCTTCCTACAATCACTACAGTCCTACAATTGCATAGCTAAACGAAGTTTTGCTTCATGAGCAAAGATCCAATTTTATATTAAAGAGCTTCTGGCAGGTTTTTTGTTTGTTTTCTTTTTGGGTCACACCGGCGATGCACAGGGGTTGCTCCTGGCTGGCTTTGCTCTCAGGAATTACTTCTGGTGGTGCTGGGGGGGGGGGGACCATATGGGATGCTGGAAATCGAATCCAGGCCGGCCGCGTGCAAGGCAAATGCCCTACCTGCTGTTACAGCCCCTCTGGCAGGTTTCTTCCAGAGCACCTATCTAGGGTTGGTTTGGTTTCTTTGTTTCTGTTTTTCATAAGTCAAAATTGTTGACATGCATCTCTTTTTACATGCACCATCTTTTCTGTTTTCTTTGCTCACCAATTTACAAAGATCTATGAATACCCTCTCTGGATATTCTATGCTGAAATAAACATACAAACAAAATATGAGCTAGATATAGGTGGCAAAATTTAAGAGTGTTATATTCACAGCACATATATTAGCTAAAAATGGCATACTTTAGACTTCTTAATTGTGCTGTATTATTAAAACAAAAGGGGTTGAGAGGTAGTACAGCAGATGGGGTGCTTGCATTACAAGTAGCAAACCTAGGTTCGATTCCCAGCTCCCAGGATGGTGGTGCGAGCCCCAACAGAAGTAATCCTTGAGCACTGGGTGTGACCATAAATCAAAATAATAGAACTAACATGTGAAACAAAGTATTTGTAAGTAAAAGGTATGTCACTCTCATTGTAACAAGACTTTTTCCCCGTCTAAGAGTTTCCCCCATCTACAGAAACATTCTGCAAGTGTACCTACCTGTGAAAATTAAGATGCCTAAGACAAAAAGGCCATGTTAGCTGCATGCAAGGCAAACGATAGCACGGCGGTAGGGCGTTTGCCTTGCACGCAGCCAACATGGCCGACCCGAGTTCGATTCCTCCGCCCCTCTCGGAGAGCCCGGCAAGCCACCGAGAGTATCTCGCCCGCACGGCAGAGCCTGGCAAGCTCCCCATGACGTATTCGATATGCCAGACACAGTAACAACAAAGTCTCCAATGGAGACGTTACTGGGCCCGCTCGAGCAAATCGATGAACAACGGGAGGGCCTTTACCTTTACCTTTTAAGACAAAAAGGACAATGGGTGTTTAAGGAGTCTTCCCTCTTTTATAGAAAAGAAATTTGTGAAGAACATGGCTTCATTAATACTGTTTCAGGACCCAAAAACCCAATTTAAACAAGCATAAGTGAAAATGGGTGGTGGTGGGGGGGGGGGTGTTATCATCCAGGTAACTAAACTGCAGAAAATGTGGGAGTAGAGGCAGTCCTGAATTTGAACAACTTTGGGTCCTTATATTCTGTTTCTCTCCTGTCTTTGTAGTCTAAAGGAAATTAGCTGAATTTCCTGGGGTTATTGAAAGCAGCATTGTCTGCAGCTCATGTGTGTGTGTGTGTGCGCGTGTGTGTGTCTGCGTGTGTGTGTCTGCGTGTGTCTGTGTCTGTGCAAGCATTTGAGAAAAAAGAAATGCCCTCCAACTTCAGTTAGGAAAAACACTGACTACAGGTAAGGCCTGTAACCAGGAAGCATCCAAGGGCAAGTCAAAATAACTGCCTCAGAATGGCTTGATGAGATTAGGGTGGCCATCTGCTCAGTGACCTGGAAAGTCTGCTAAGCTTAGAAAGTCATTTAAGGAACATGTTTATGATTTGACATGAAGTGGTTTAAGGAAGACATTAAGTGCTACCAGTTTACTTTGATACAATAATTTTAATGAGATGGCTGTCCCTTGTGCCATAGGGAGATCCTTTGAGATAACTCATTTTGTAAAATTAGTTAAAAGAGAAAAACTTACCCAGTTTTCTTTCTGAACAGTTAAACTACCCATCACTGCCCCTCTCCCCAAAATAACATGGTCCACTGGGGCCTTCCACTGCCCTTTCGTGCTCACCTATATTTGTGAAGACTAAATGTTTCTATGTCAAATGGTCTAGTATCTGCGTATGCCATCCAGTAGTTATCTGATCTGTGATTTTAAAAAAAGTGGGAACTGCAAGTTCACACTCATCTGGTTATGAGCAAAGTTTTAAAGACAGATTGTGACCTCCATTGTTGACATGGTGTATAGCTACAAAAAGAATGAACCATTGTATAAAAAAACTGATATTAAGGGAATCAAAAGACATCTAAAATTACATCTATATGTACTGAATTTTAACTTTAAAAATTCTCAGCAATGCATGTTTTCTAAGCTATATTTAGTAAGCATAGTTGCAAATCCTTTCTGAAGATTTTCAGAATGATATCAATGATGACACAATAAAATAATTTCATTTTTATTCTGGAGTAATGCACGTTAGAATATGAAATCTGAGGACTGGGTTTTTTTTTAATGAGAATTGTTTTTAATGGAAAAGCAAAAGCCACAATCTTCAAGTGATAAAAATATTTTTAAAAACATTTTTGCATCAATGTAATAGCAATAGTCTACATTTCATTTTTTGTCCTAGGAAAAAAAGCCATATTAGAGATATAGACAAATCATGACATAATACATACATTGTGAATTCCTAACAGAAAAACTGTTGAAGTTTGCAGAGTAAATGTTTTGTGGCAAAAGGAGTGTTAAGTCATTATCAAGTGGGTACTTTCGAGTTCTATCCTGCTTGTGATCAATGGGCTGCTCTCTGGCACCTGCCTTGTCTCTGGAATGACCCTTTCAGATACTTACTAGTTGAGGCGTTTGTGGCATATCCTCCAGTAATATTTGTACTTATCTCCAAGACTACTAAAACAATGACTTTTCTCCCTCTTGCCCTTTTGTCACTTGCAGAGATTGTGAAATAGAGTCTGGGCTTGGTTGTCTTTCCCCAGACCAAGCCATTCTGTCCAGAGTTAGTTGCTACCCCTCTACACACAACGTGTGTTGCTGTATTTGTCTACAGAAATCAACTAAGATTCAAAGGGTGGTGGGGGTGGTGGGAACTTGGTTTGGCTAACACTTTGGAAAGATTTGCGTTGCCTCCATTGCAGCTGGGAAGCCAGATTTCTCATTTTTTTGGAGGAGGGGTCACACCTGGCAATGCACAGGGGTTACTCCTGGCTCATGCACTCAGGAATTACTCCTGGTGGTGCTTGGGGGACCCTACGGGAAGATGGGAATCAAACCCGGGTCGGTCGTGTGTAGAGCAAAGGACCTACCCACTGTGCTATGGCTCCAGCCCCGATTTTTCAGCGTTTTACTTTCCCAGCTGACGGACCTAAGCACTTAAAAAGAATGCTGCTGAGTTTCTTAAGATAGTTTTGCAATGCACTGTTCAACCACAGTGCAAGTATCCTTACGAACCTGGTATCTGACAAAACAGTGAGATCTCTGTCTAATATACACAGTGAGCATAATTGAAAAAGTAATTGAAAACTTTAATTTCCTCCCTTTGTTTTGCAGTCCAGACTAGGTTATTGTTTTTTTATGTTTTTTTTTTTTTTAGGCCTCTTGTGTCTCACAGAATGGCTTTGTCTCACAACGCTGGGGTGTGTTTGTGGCTGGGTGTGAATGATGATTCTGGAGTGGGGGAGAGACCCCCAACTCTCCCCATTCTGCAGGTCTCAGGTGGTGGCACTCACATACTGAGGACTTGAACCTTCTAGAATACCTTTGGAGACAGCACTTAATAAAGCATTTCAGAAACAAAAAACTCAGTTCAATCAGATTCAGTAAAATGCACAGGCATGAGGCAACGACTAGGAAGAAGATGAAGATGGTTTTCTCCGTAGGTTTGGAGACAAAACAGTCCACAACATTGGGGCAAGGCTTCAGGTCACACTTTAACAGGCAGGGAACTGTGAAACCATCATAGAGCTTGTAAAATAAAACCAGGAAACCGATTTCAAAGCCAGTCTTCACGATGAGACTGATGAGGTAAGTATACCACAGGCCCCCATCCATCATGCCCGTGCTGACGTAGAGTTTCTTTCTGTGCTTTTTCTCTCTGCCCTCACGATAGGCCACATGCAGGACCACCAGAAGTGAAGGTGTGGAGACCATGATCAGTTGTAAGGCCCAAAGTCTGACTTGGGACACGGGGAAGAAGTAGTCAAAGCACACATTTTCACAACCAGGCTGTCTAGTGTTGCACTCAAATTCTTTCTGTTCATCTTTCCACACATGCTCAGCTGCCACCATGTAGACCAGCAAACGGAAAATGAACACGACAGCCAGCCAGATCCGCCCGATCCCAGTTGAGTATTTATTGACTCCACTTAGGAGATCTCTCAGGAACATCCAACTCATGGCTTGGACTCAAAAGGCAAGACTACAAGAAAAAAAAATTATTTTCTATTCTGTTGACAATGTTCTCTTAATTCAGCATGAGATTATAAAAGATAAACTAGTTTCTGAGGGGTTTATTTTGGGGGGTGGCACTTGGCGGGAGAACTACTGGCTGTGGTCTCAGGGATCGTCAATGCATGCGAGGCAAGCACCCTCCCAGCTGTACTATTCAGCTGTACTATTGCTCCAGCCCCCTCAGTTCTTTTGTAGAAGGAGCACACCAGTAGCCCTTGGGGTTCAGTGCCAAGAACTGAACTGAGGACTTTGCACATGTTAGCCATATGCTTTACCACTTGAGCTCCATCTCAGGCCCCAGTTTCTGCAACTTGGGCATTAAGTGCTATCTAAGAATCCCATAGGACATGCTTCTCCCTTTCACATGTCTTAGTATGTCTGGGTTGCCCATCCTCAGATTAACTCAGAACTGGTTAGTCATCTCACACACCCTGTCCCACTTTCATGATTTGCAAAATTCTTATATCTCCACTATGAATGGCCCTGCAACTTCTACCCCCTCACCCCTCCGGACTTAACCTATTTTCATGCCCAATTTTGCAGTGAGAGGTAGCTTTGCCTTAAAATGATCATCCCATTTGTTTTCCCTTTCGATAGCTTCAGTCTCTGCTTTCTTCCCTTCCTCTCAGCATACCATTTATAGTGGAGGAAATCTTCATAGTTAATTTCTCTGACAACTTCTCTTTCTTCCTCTAATCCTAATTTATTGTACTTTGACCATTCTTTTCTTCACAACTCAGTCTAGTTTTTCTGTCTGCCCTTCTTGTGCTTAACTTTTAATGCTCAAATTGGCATTATCACTTAGCTATCAAATCTTGAGAGTTCGGCCACTTATGTTTAGTTTTCTGTAATAAAACTAAACTAATATTGTTGCTTACATGTGAAACGCAATTAGACTTACGTATCATTCTACCTTATTTTTCTGTTCTGTTCTTCTTCACGACTATGTGACTTGCATTTTCTTTGAGTTTTGAAGCTCTATACCCCTTTCTCATACACTCTAGAAAATCTTACTCATTTCTGTAGGTTCAACTTCAGCTCTCCAATCTTTAAATCTCTTCCCCAGACTACTCTTCATTCTTATTTAAATATGTCCATGGCTATAAAATGACATATCTATAACTGAATTTATTATCTACCCTGTCCTTTAATTTCCTTATATTTACTAATCACCAATACCCAGATATTCATGTTGGGAATCCTGTACTAGTCCTGGATGCTTCCCTCAAATCCCTCCCACTAGCTCAACAGGTTCTTGAGATTCCTCCTGAATATCTTTTGGATTGGTCACCTAGTCCCTGCTGAAATTCCTTCCATAATCCTGCCACTACATTTATTTTCAAACTCATCACAGTGGACCCTGATTTTTGTTGAGTTTGTTGTGGGCTCATCACTTTCTTTTTTTTTTTTTTTTTGCTTTTTGGGTTACACCCAACAACGTTCAAGGGTTACTCCTGACTCTGCACTCAGGAATTACTCCTGGCAATGCTTGGGGGATCATATGGGATGCCAGGGATCGAACCCAGGTCAGTGCATGCAAGGCAAACGCCCTACCCGATGTGCTAACACTCCGGCTCCCAACTCATCACTTTCTATACAGCGTTCTTGAGATGGTCCCACACAACCCACCCTGAAAAATGTGGGGGCTTGTTTTTTGCAGGATAGTCTTCATACCTAACTGCTCAGGGGCTCCTCTGGCCTCAGTGCTCAGGGTCACTGTAGTCATACTCGGGACACCAACATGTGAATCCAGTGCTCCAGCCTTTTGAGTTAACATCCCACTGAGAAACAAAAGCCCACTGAGAAAAAGTGGGGTTTTGTGTCTGTTTTGGTTGCTCTGATTTTGGTTGTTTTGTTTTCTCAGCTAAGAAAATAGACTTGAAAAAAGAAGCCATTTTCAAAGGTCACAAAATAAGAGTTGAAATCCAATAGCCATTAATCTAAAACATTTTTTGAGCAGGTAAGTGCCTCTGACATTTGAGGCTGTATAATTCTTTGTTGTAGCGACTGTCCTGAGCATTACAGGATGTTTAGCAGTATCCTTGTCCCCTACCAGCTACATGAGAGCCACACTACACTACACTCTCTTGTGACAAGTTCTAATGTCTCCAGATACTTCCAAATGTACCCAGATGAGGGAAAGTCTCCCCAGCTGAGAAACACTGGGGCTTTATGTGGGTTAGAATTCTCTGATTCAAAACAAACAAAACAAAAAAATCCATGTTTGTTTCAGATCTTGTTTCCCATTTAAAAAGTTACTGCTTGCTTGATCTATAGACTCATTCAAAATATTAACAGTGTGAAGGGAACCTGGGGGTTATGGAAAATGCTACGTTGCTCCAACAGTGCACCTGTGAGAGCAGGTTCCATTATTTCACAGAACAAACAACAGTGAGCCTGCAGGTCTGGAGAGCCCGAGGAGCTCTAAGAGGGTACAATGTACTTTGAGAGAAGACAAAGGTACATGTACACAGTGCTCTGTTCAGCAGGAAGTAAAAGCTTCAGTGTCCGTGGTTTTCAGAACACAAACAAAATTGTATTAAATAGAAAGGGTTCTCAAATCCATCTGATAGGTTATTGCTCCCATGAATTATCAAAGTCTCAAAGATTAAATAGAAAGGTATTGTGTTTCCCTATGACATGTGTCATTGGACATCTGTTCATATTTCTTAAGGGGTATTTATGTAATGTTACAAAACATTTGCATGTACTCTGTTGAGCATTTTGAAGAAGAGAGAAAGGTATGGGTGGATCCAGACAGTTAAGAACAGCAGACTTTAATCTTTGAATACAGTCATAAGACTGATGTTATCAAATGTCAGATTAAGTATTTCATTTGATAAGTATTCAATTAATTCTAAATTTTTTTTTTGCTAACTTCACAAACATACTGTGAAAGGATTGTTAGGTTGGGTTGGCTATTTTGGTTTTTTGTTTTTTTGTTTTTGATACCTGGGGGAATTTTCAAGCAGAGTCAAGGAATTCTGGCAAGACTCGGCTAACTGTGCTGGTGATTAAATGCTAGGGCCTGAGGATGAGGTGCTTATAGGGCCCAGGGATGCTGGCCACCCTGAAAGTGCTCCAGGGCTACACACAGGGGTACATGGGGGTGGGAGTATCTACCACTTGGATTTTAATTGTATCCCAGAACTTTGCATGTGACCTTGACTAAGTTATCTTCCAGCATTGCATATGATCCCCCACAATCCCCCAGTACCATCAGAGGTAATTTTTAAGCACCCAGCCAGAAATAGCCCCGGGTGTGACCCAAGCCCCAAAATCCCCCAAAGAGGTCAAAATTATCTGAAAACTTATTTATATAGGGAGCAGAAGAGAAGAATAGCAAAATAATACTGCTCATCAGCATCATTCTATAAATTTTTTTCATAGTTTTTTTTATTGACCATATCTATGAGAATGTACAAAATGCTGAAAAAAACTAAGGAATTAAAGCACTATAACTGATATGTGTATGTTTTTATAATAAAGATTTTCAAGGTCATAAATATGTACTACCATGTATGAAAATCCTTTTTGGTATTTCTTATCTCTATGTTAATGGATCACTAAATTCTCAATCTTCAGACCAGCTATGTTATCTCTAAGCTCCAGCTGATCTCCTTGTCCTTACCACTAGCAAGTTCTCACAAAATTTAAAAATCTGAAGTGGTACTAGAGTGATAACACAATGGGTAAGGAAGGCATTTGCTTTGCATGCAGCCAACCCTGGTTTGATCTCCAGCACCTCACATGGTCCCCTGCATCCCACTAGAGATGACCCCTGAGTGCAGAGCCAGGAGTAAGCCCTGGGCACTGCCGGGTATACACCCCCACCCCCAAGCCACTCCCTTCCCTACCCCCCAAAAAATCAAAGTCCAAAGTAAAATCTTGTTATAACTGACTCCCTCTCCACTCAGAAGTACTCCTAGTCCCTCGATGCTCTCTACTTCAGTAAATGGTACCACCATCCACCCATATTTTGAAACTATAAACCTGGTCATTTCCTTCATCTTCTCTCTGTTCAAAACCCTTCTCCGGTCTGTATCCAAGGTCCAAATTCTTTTATTTTTCTTTTTGGGTCACACCTGGTGATGCACAGGGGTTACTCCTGGCTCTGCACTCAGGAGTTACTCCTGGTGGTGCTCAGGGGACCATATGGGATGCTGGGAATTGAACCCGGTTGGCCACATGCAAGGCAAATGCCCTACCCGCTGTGCTATATCTACAGCCCCGCAAGGTCCAAATCCTTACCTGTGAAATATATACTAATTTTTTTAACTCTTGAACTGCCAACACTCTAGGCTATTATCATCTGTGTGTATTGCTCCATTTTTCTCCTGATCTGCTTTATGTCATTTCATTCCATAACCATGTTAACATTTAAAATCTCATTTCTCAAATCCATAGCATGATTTCCTATTGCGGTTAGGATGAAAATAAAAGTAAAAAACTGCTTGGTTTGGTGCCCACCTCTCCAACATCATTTTGCACCTTGCCATGATACACTGAACTCCAGCACTCATTGATCCTCCTCTTTAGTTGCTGCTTTAGACACAGTATTTATTTTGTTTCTATCAACTTCAATGCTCTCATCCTCTTCACCTGAATCAGAGAAGCTTTAGCCAACTGTCCTCCCCCAAATAAGATACTTTTGAGCTTTTATTCCCCATCCCTCCCCCCTTTTTTTTCCTCTTTACATTTTTTTTGGCAACATCCAGAGGTGCTCAGGGCTTATTCCTGTCTCTGTGCTCAGAGAATCATTCCTGGAGGGACTCAGGGGAGCAGATGGGGTATTGGGAATTAAACCTGGGTCCTCTTGCCCACTGTACTATCTCTCCCACCCATTTTGAGTATTCATTAAATTGGCTTTTACTCCTTGCTGTTTTATAGCATAATCATGTATTTATATTCTCTCTATATAGATCTTATCAATATAGATGATGTAT